TTTAATCAACCCGTCAGATTGTATTCAATCATGTGTGAAAAAAAAAAAAATTTTGTTTAGATGTCCCATTCTTGTCAAGTAGCACTTAATTTTGATTCGAATTGAAATCTTTTCTCTTGTATTTGTAGATTTTGATTTGATTGTGTGTCGTATTAGATGGAGTCAAACATATTATCAGAAAAAAATCTCGAAGAACTCACCGTTATTTGATTCGATTCTAAATCTTACTCAATTGATACAAAACTTCGATTACATTGTATAATAAACTTTTTAAAAATTTTCAACAATGTTGATGATTGTTTTAATTATATTTTATCGATTAAAAATGAGAAAATATTTTTAATCACATCGAATTTATTAAGTGAATCAATAGTATCTTTAGTTTATGATCTATCTCAAGTGCGATTCATTTATATTTTTTGTGAACATAAAGAAAAATATGAATTATGAAGTAAAAACTGTATAAAAATTCGTTATATTTTCATTGATCAAGACACGCTCTATTTAATGTTAATAAAAGGTGTAAAATTATGTTCGAATACAACATCGATTTCATTTTTTCAATACAAATGAAAAATCACTACGTGACTTAAATGATACTTCTATTGATATGAATTACTAAGAAAAATATTATCAAATATGTCACAAACACATATTGCTACACAAGACATAATTGATATTGGACGTAAACATTATGCTGATAATGATAAAGAATTCTTTACTATTGATGATTTTAATAAAAATCATCGATCAAATGAACCAATTCGATGGTATACACGTGATTCATATCTACATAGTTCATACATTTATCAATTGAGACATTCAAGAAAAATGTTAAGTATTGAGATTTTCTTGACGAAGTTGTTGACATTAAAAACGTTCCAGTCACACTCGTCATTATTTTACGTAATTTCTATTCATCCAATAGTTTTCGAATACTGAAAAAATTCCATTCCATTCTTCTCTTTTAAAATCCTATGTCTTTCAAAATATTTTGAATCTTTATTTTTCAGTTTAACTTATTGTCA